AAAAAAAAAAAAAAATCAAAAAAAATCAAAAAAAATCAAGAATTCATACAAATAAAGGTCTTACCCTGCGTCTTGTTTTCGTTTGGGTCTATGTGAAGTTTCAAGCCATTTGCTTCAATCTTGACCGAGTATCGTACGTAGTGGAGTATCATACGTATTTAAAATATGTAGCGCACTAAAGCTCGCTTGAACCCTCGATATGTGCCACTAATTCGCTTCTAGTTCAGTCAAAATTACACATCACGCCGAAATTCCTTCAATCCAATACCTAACACATCAACACCATTGACCTCCGTTCAGCTATTCAACGCTATCCATTTTTAAAACAACTTTTTAGCAAGGTTATCTTCAATTCTCCGTTCTCACGACCAGCAGCCGTGCAAAGGAATTTGACCGTCGTTACAAACGCCTCCCCGTCGCATTGTTATTGGTCAACATTAGCGGTGGCGTGTGTTGACCTGATGTGAAGGGTACGGTGAGGCGTTTGTAAAAAAAAACACATTCGTACACAATCGAGGCTAAGGTTGAGGCAAGAGAATATGAATACTTAATATTCTCTTTGTTGAGGTCAAACGTCGAACCTCACATGATCCGAACAAGGCGGTCTTCTTTGATGTCATTAGGTTCGGCTCATGTGAATTTCGATGTTTGACCTTAGTCTTATACTCCATTCACACCACTGAAGGCTTAAACATGTTTTAAAGTGGTTTAACTAAACAGGTTTGGAAAACTATCTACGAATACTGCACAATCTTTGGTAAAATAATGCATGTAATGCATTTTTTGTCTTGCTCTGATAATATTTTAGAAAGTTTCATTATATTGTAGGTTTCTAGTTTCTCATTTTTTCCCCAAATGAAAACACAGTTTAACTAAACACGTTTAGGTCTGAATGGTGTTTAAGACTTAGCAAAGGTGAACTCGAAATGAGAATATTCTTACCAATTGTTAGTCCAGTCATACAACTGTATGAAATAATGTCAACACAGTAGAAAATATGCAAAAAAAAAAAAAAAAAAAGTGCAGCCTTTTATATTCACATCACCCATAGTGCATTTATGGCTTGTTTTGCAACTAATAGCTGTACTAGCATTACCGCTAAGCCACCATCAATTCTCCAGGAAGCCATCAGATAACAAGTTGTCACATACAATATACTTTATTTGCTCTTTAAAATTTTACTCACATTCCTGGCACAAATACATGACGTTTTTCCTCTTTTTTCAATCTGATTATTGATTGTTAGTATTGTTTAGATTATTCGATTATCGTAATCAGTTCCAGGTTAGGCTCAGGTCAAACGTCGAACTTTACATGAGCCGAACCCAATGAAATCAAAGACCGTCTTGTTATCCTCCATTGTTTTAATTAGGTTCGGCTCATGTGAAGTTCAACGTTTGACCCGAGTCTAACACTTATTTACACTGCATTTAATATTAAAATTTCAAACCTTAAACTGGAATGAGCTTCCATGTCCACCGTGCAAATTCCCGTCCCGTCAAGGGGTTTATTTTGTATTAACTAGAAAATACTAAGTTTACAGTCTGATCCCACTAAACGACCTCTGGCCGCTATGAGATGCCCATTTAACGGGTAACCGGGCTTTAGCTCTGTCAAGTCATCATTTACAACATTTCTAGGCAATGTACGACGACAATATATGGGGTTGGTAGAGGTTTAGTTTAGAGGATCTAGCCCGGCCTTAGAAGCCTGCTAGAAGTGAATACATTCACTACAGTAACACGGTAGATGCAGAAAGGATTGGTGTCCAGTGACACTTAAAATTAACACTCAGCAATGTTTTTGGACAGATCACGTGTTATTTTCCCGCGATACGACGTCTGCGCTAGAAAACTTCATTGCTTGCATTTCTTTACCACGTTTTTTCTACTGGCTGAAATTGGGCGTTTGTTTACCCCATCTCAAGCCACATGTCATTCCATCGAGAATAGGATTCATTTCCTTTGCATCCAAACAAAGAAATGATACTCAAGGAGTGACACGTGGTCTGAAATCAGAAAAAAATTTCATTTAGTAGCCGAAATTCTAAATACATATATATATATATATATATATATATAAAATAGTTAAAGACTAGAATAAATGATCCATTGTCTTATTGCGACTAGCTGGTTTCGTATGAGCTAGTCGCAATAAAACAAGGAGTTTTTTATTCTAGTCTTTAACTATTTTATGTAATGCTCCTGCAATTTTGAGGCACTCTTTGAAAAATATTTTAAATGGATTTTGATATATATATATATATAAACCCAGGATAAAAAAAAATTCATTCACTAAACGCTTATGACTTCTATTATACACTCTTTGGGTGATATACCAAGTCGAGGATCCCTAGTATACCGTTGTCATCCCGCACCACTCGTGCAGGTAATAGTTGAATCAAGTTTGGGAGCCTTTGTATTTTTCCTGCGACAAACGAGACAACGAGTTCAAAGAGAGTCAAATCGAGTTCTGGTAAACGTCAAGATGGCGACTGGGATAAAATACTGGGTCTTTCTTGGTGCAGCAAGCTTTATCTTATTCCTTGTCTATTGTTTATTGTCTTCCTGCTTCAGGTGCCTTGCAACACCAAGAAAGAGCTTCAATAATTATTATAACTCAATATTAGAAATACTTCCATTTTTGTAGAAAAAGTAAGAACGCTGGATAAAGATGCTGCATAAGCGAGAGATGATGAGCCTGGTTACACCTTGACATGAATAAAATGCACGAAGATGGCAATGTTAGGTTATTCTGACCAATAAATAATCAATCAAAATCAGTTACGAGAGATATTAAGTCAAATAACACATCGGAGCGAAAAGCTAGGGGTCGCGTGAAGATTAGACGTGCCAAGAGAATAAAGCGAAAACAGTGTTCTGGTAGCGTATCAGCATCAAACAACATGCATATTAGCTATTATTATAAAATTCATTAGATTGTCCCATTTGAGTCCATGTTGGAACAAAACAGATCAGCACAGTAATCAAAATGATGTTGATGATGATCTAAATTCTCCTTTTATAATACAAAACCAAAAAAGAAAAACGATGTGAGAATTTAGATTTTCATCAGCAACATTTGGATTTTCTGGATTGACATCTTCAGCTGCTGCCAGCATAGTAAATGGAGCGGAATTAACTATGCTGCCAGGCATCTAGAAAGAAAGCTCAATTCTCTTCTTTCAAGATAGCTAACTCGAGTTGATAATGTTAAATACATAACCTTTATCATAAAAATTTTGCACCTATAATTTTTCAAGCTTCCTTATCTTTTGTTTCATTGATACCATTCGAAGAAGGCATTGTTACACGAACTTCGGGAATCTCGAGGAATTCTTTCGGGTCCACGACCGGCTCATCTTCTTCGATTGCAGTTAGTCGCCTAAGTTCTACAGTATCGTTTTCATCATATCTTCTCTTGTCCATTGAGAACCACAAGCCGGGATCTTTATCTTTATTACGCGAGTGTTTACTACGATGTTTGCCATCGTCTTTGTGTCGGTGTCTGTGTTTATTTCTTGAGCTGTGGTGGTTATTCGAACTTTTGTCTCTCTTCTTTACTGATCCTTCTCTTACAAACGACTTCCATAAGGAGCTCTTTGTCATTTCATCACTGATATTGATGGGGATTTCTACCTGAGTTGGCCCGTTGACCTGTGGTTCTTTCTTCTCTCCGTCAACATCGTCTTCCTGTTTAAATAAGTCAAATATTCCAGTCAATAGACATCTTTAGCTTGAGCGTAATGTTTTCCCATTTCAGACCACGTGTCATTTCCTAGAGTATCATTTTATCGTTTACTAGTTGTGCAGAAGAGAAGACACATGAATATAGATACAACTCAAACGAAGAATAGCGCTTTAATATGCCTTTATATATATTAAACTCATCACTAGTAGATGAGCTTGACGTTAGGTGCTTGTTCGGTGAGATGAGGGGGGCCTGGCACATAAAATCGTGGTAACTATGGCAACCCTGTCACAACTCACCGTGCAACTGTCACACTGATGATCTGGTCAGTGGAATACTTACCTATATATACCTACCATAGGGAGGGAGGGCAGGAAAAAAAATATATATATATAGCGTTTTAATGAGATGACGTAAATTCAAGAATAGGTTACATTTTGCARTGTGATTTAAGTGTTCTGAATTGAAATAACCTAAAAGTGTACAAAGCCATATATTTCAGTTATAAGAATGATTTGCAAATGGTAAAAAAGCAGAACTTTGCACAACAGCATTTTTGTATCATAAAGTAGTCTTGAATTTACGTCATCTCATTTGCATATTAATATTTCAAATGTTTATATCTCCAAAAGAAAATGTTACATACGAAAATACTGCAACCATACTACTACGCTATCCACATATATGTGATTTTGAAAGAAAAAAATCCTTGATATACACTTTAAAAGCTCTATAAACCATGAAAAATATACGAAAATGGTATACAAATATAACTGAAGAACTGCAACCTGGAGAATTGCAATTGGTCGCAAATTTCAGACCAACAACGTTTGTATTAAAACAAGTTTATAGATGGCGCCGTCTCGAATGAAGTCTTACCTGTCCACTTTCACTACCATCACCATCACCGTCACCATCACCATCAACTGCCTCACCGTTGAGTCCTTCACTCATTGATGCCACGAGCTTCTTCTTCTTCACTGTTTCTGGCATTAAATCATCGAGAACCTGAAGCTCATGCTTGGAGAAAAACTTTTCCATGACTTTACGTACCACAACAAGCATGAGAACCTTGAAAGGAAACATACGGACCATAAGTTGAGAACGATTTATCTTGACTGGGATAGGTCCTCTAGAGGTCCTCTAGACTCATCTGCTCAGAGTTAGCCTCATTTCAGCATCAGAATAAACAACTTCAACAATGCAAACACTTTGGGATGCATGAGTGGTATGGCGGCGAGAAAATGCTTTGTGTATGGAGGAAACTGAAACCCTTGAAGCACATCAGGAGAGAACTAACAAACAACTCTACCCACATACGACACCGAGCCCGGCAGAACTCGAACCCGGGTCGCCTTTGTAAGAGGAGAGTCCTCTCACTGATACGCCACCCACGCTTCCTTCTTACCATGATTGGGAAGACCAATGCTGCAGGTGTCGACTTGATAGCCCACAGCACAACGAGACATGTAATCTGTATGAACGTGAAGAGATGGACTCGAGTGATCTTGATTCGTCGAAGGTAGATCAAATCAGGCTGGTGCTTGGCAGGCATAAACATGATCTTGATCCTCTCAAAGAACTTTTRGTTGATTAAAATAGAAGAAGAAAAACAGTTAACGGATATGGCACAGCAGATGGTTAATGACAATATAGGCCTTGTTCGAGATCTTAAAATTCTAGCAAGATACCAAGGCTCGTGAATGAAATGTTCAAAATTGCCTTAAAACTCAAGAGGATCAGTAAGTATAGCACTGTAGATCTTATTATAACGTTTTTGAGTGGTGAACTGACTAGCATTTTTACAAAAAWTTTCTTAATATTGCCAAAAAGTAGGAACGTTATATATTGTACAAGATCTCATTCCTACCAATAAATGTATTTGGTGATCCACGTGTTCGTACGATACATGAAGTACAATGCGACTAAAGCATTGCAATCAAGTTTGGATTTTAAGATATTGAACGTGGTCTATTGACCAGGGTTCGTGCTGGATTGCAAAGAATAAAATCAAGTCCCTTTCGTGACGAAAATTTACTTCTCAAGGACATTCAAACATTTGCCTAAAGCTTTATATTTTATTTATACTTTACATTTTTTTTGCTGTTCTCGACGAAGAAGAATGCCTCCATATCCGGCAAAAGGATTTGAATCATTCGTTCGTGGTTACACATTGGGCATCTCCACATTTTCCAGGGTAATCAAAGATAGCCCAAATAACCAAAATTTTCATAACGATGTCTTTTCGATTAATCATTTTAACTTACATTTTACATTATTTATTTTTAATATCAAACCTCACAACATCGACAAAATATTTTTACTTTTCATGGAGTATTGAAGGACTTTTCAATGATTTTTTATTCTTTCAAGAGCTTTTCAACAACACTTGAGTAGCCAATGTGCACGAGCATGAATCCTAGCGCAACATATTCTGGGGAACCGAGTACTAGACAAATAAGAACAAGGAAATCAATAGAATTTTTTCTGTTGAAATACTCACATTTCCATAGAAAATGTCTAAGAATTGTCAGATGGATTTTTAGAAGAGCTGAAAAAGCGCAAGTACTCGGTTTCGCATCATGCTTTGTGCTAGAGATACATTGGTATCATAAATTCCATGGTTTTTCAAGTACTTGAAGGACCTGTACGAACCCTCATTGACTGACCTGTATTCCCTTTAGTGCTGAGAATCCCATGTACAGGAACAGACCATACAACACTGGCATGGGAATATACTGCAATGAAATGACACAGGTGCATTAATATACAATATCTTGCAGGAGCTCTTCGTTAGGAATGGAAAGGTTTAAGAGCATAATACAAGACAGATTCAACAGCCCAACAATCCAGTGACCGTGGGTTATTTCCTTTCATGTTATTATGATATCTATTGTGTGTTATTTCCTGGTAGGACTAAAGACTTTTCGTCCACACCAAACTAACTGACAGATTTTTGAGTCATTGAATAAATTATGACAACCAACCAATCAGTCCAAATTGGAGACATTTTTGGAGTGAAATAATGAAAATAATAATAATAATAATAATAATAATAATAAT